TCCTTCACCTCCTACTTTCCATCCTTAAGCTCTGCTATAACTCACCACCATCACTTCCTCCCTTCCTGCTTCATCCCATCCCACCACAAACATCCTCTCTTCAGATACCTCCTCATCCGCTGTATTGCTTCACATTGCAAAAAAACTGCCCTTAAAGGTTGTTTTCAAGTCTAAAATACATTTTCAGTCAGTTTCAGTAATCAACCTAACCCTGACCCAACACAAGAGTGCTTTAGCTTTAGCTTCAGCTACAGTAAATAATGTAACTAGGTATCTCTGGGGGAAATAATCATTGTTAGCACAAGCAGCAATAGCACCCACAGCAAAATATACAAAGAAAATTCTCCACCTATTATAACTTTGTTAACATAAACAGTTCAAAGGAAGCAGGGCTCAAATTAAACATGCCGCAAGTTTCACTTTGCTTTATTTGGATTTGACTGCTGGGCTGTTTGTGCAGTTGCCACCGAGTACACGTTACCTGTACTGTAGCTAGTTAACAACATATAGTAGTAGGCTAGACTGATTTGAAAATTGGCAGTAGTTTATTCATACATCGAGCAGACACAGAACACTGAAATGAATTTGGAGGCCTGTTTGTGTCAACATGAAGACTGTCCACTGTCAACTAGCTTTGTTTTGATCTCCACTTGTAGCTGGTTAGCTGCTAAATGCTTTGTTCACCAGCTAGTTGCTTACTTTGTCTGCGTCCTGTCGGTGTTGGGCAGGTAGTGTGGTTTTAGAGGTTGATAAGAGCAGTGAGAGTGAAACAAAGCAGTGAAGTTGCAGGCCTTAAAGTAGAAACAACACATTTTTACTTTTTGTTGATTTTGGCGGACCCTGTGGACAAAAGCGGTAGTGTTCCCACCACGTCATTTCATTGATTCCAAGGGTAATCTCACCGAATCCGACCGAGTGGCAGACATTAAAAATAATATAGAAATAGCCAATCTTCTTACTGATTTGTGTCCTTATAGCTTTTATAGAGTATTAGCTAACCAGTTAGAAACTCCTTGTAGTAGGTTTGAAACCGAAACAATAAGCTGAAAGATGCTAAAACACTTAATTAAATGATGAATCTGTAGGGTCTGTAGTAATTTGACCCTTCTGAAAAAACCTATTGTTGTTAATTTTTTTATAACGTCACTTTTCAATACTGTGAGCACCACAAAAAATATTCATTCACCTCCATTGTGTTGCGCTGGCAGAATACCTTAAAACGTTAGCAGATAAAACCAAACCTGAATCTGAATAGCTAAACCTGCTCAAACGTCACAAAATCATCTCCTTCCATCCAAATACCCTTGTATCTCTTCTCATCCACCCTGGGCTGTAACCCCCATCTCACCCTGTAAACTCCTCACTTCCCCTTGAACATGCAGGCTGGTGGAGGTGGCGGCTGGGCTCCTTCCTGCTTTGAAGCGCTCCAGTCAGCTGTGTTGCCTCCGACTGCCTCTCTCTGAGGGGCATATAATGGCTTTAAGACGCCCTGGCTTCCTCCATAATAACTGCTTCCTCTGCTCTTGTCCTGTCCTGGCTGGCTGGGTGTGTGGGTGGCTGGCTGGCCACCTGACAGGCTGACCAACGCTTAGCTCACATCTGAAGTATTACTAAAACAAAACAACACTATTGTCTCCTAGAATCTGTCCCTTGTATATACAGGTCTGTCATTGTTTGAATATTTTATATTAAATCAGATCATTTCCAGCAGATTATACATGTCTTAGTGGTAATCGTTGCAGTGAAAATATATGGAAAAGTTTCAAACAGTATCCAGACATTTTCCCTCTGTTGCTGTGCTTGGTGTGGCTTGTGTCGGTGCAAATGGCCGCTTGCTTGCCGATTATTTGAGTAGTAAATCCCACTAACTGACTGAATGGCTTACCGATTGACTGGTTAGTTGTCTTGCTGATTAACTGACGGGATGGATGGTTGCTTTACTGCCTGGCCCTTTGACTGGCTGATTAAAAGCTGGCTCCTTAAGTAGCTGACTTATTGGCTGTGGAATGCAGCAGGTGGTTCAAAATCTGAATGGGTTTTGCGGTTGTGTGTGTGTGTGTGTGTGTGTGTGTGTGTGTGTGTGTGTGTGTGCACGTTTATGTTTGTGTATATGTGTGCGTGTCTGAGTGCATGTTTTTTCCCATGGTTGAAGCCATTGAGCTTGTCTGCAGGCCCTCAGATTGCTTCTCTAATCTGGCATGTTTCACATTCCCAATTTCCTCCGCTGATGCATGACTCCTTGGCTCTGTGTTCAACTGGAGACTGCAGAGAAGAAAGAACGACAACTGCCTGTCTGTCCGACTGTCTATCGCTCTGTACTCTGGAGCTCTCCCTCCTTGCTTGAGAATCTCACCTTCTGTATATGTCTGTAATCTGTTATCCTGTTTTCTCTCATCTCGTGTTTGGCTATCTGACTGCATGTCACTATGTCGCTGTAGCCTAATTTCCCACACAGAAAAATCAGACAAGGTATGTACTGTCCCTGGGCAGATGTTGATACAAAATACTTTAAGTTTAAAGTTTATTTATTTAAAAAGGGACAATGCACTTTGAGTAAAACAAGGACTTTAGTTGACTATGTAAATGTGTCAGATTTAGCCATACAGGCTAATTTTCATCTGCAGTCCCAGAATAGTACTTCAGAGATATACCATTCTGCATAATGTACTTTTAATTTTGGTACTTAAAGTAGATTCTGATGCTAGTACTTAAATGTACTAGAAAGAGTTTTTAACTGGTCGTAGTACATAACATCTATATGACCTACATATATTATATTCCACTTCTGGCAATAGTTCCTCCTAAATGTTACACAATAATAATAATATATTTACTTTAAGTAAATATTAGACTGTATGACTTTTGCTTGTAAAAGAAGTATTTCTTCAAGATTCCTAGTGAATTATTACAGTCTGTGCAAAATTTCATGGCCATACATCCAATGGTTGTTGAGATATTTCCATCAGCATACTGATTGTATGTATGGTTGTGGCACAAGGGAAGCTGGAAAACACCCACATAATCACAAGTGTTCATGCGCACATGCACACATACATACAAATCCACTTTATCATATTGTAAACAAAGGGCAGAGGAAGCTAAGGAACACTCTATCAGCAGCCTATACAGTACTGTTGACTCTACCGTCCCTTATCTGTTATGAACTCTACACTGTCACATAAACATGCTCTGTACGTGTGTGTGTGTGCATATTTGGCTACACACTCATATAAATATACTGTGTGCGGATAAATGTTAGTCTGTGAATCTCTCAGTGAATAGGTGTGTGTGTGACAGTATATATTTGTGTGGGCGGGTGTGTCTGCGAGGCTGAATTAAAGCTGCAGTGCATGCGAATGTGATACCAGAGTTTTCTGATGCAACAGCACTGCTGGATTCATGTTTGCGTTACACGTCATCACGCCCATTACTTTTTCCCATGAAGGGGAGATGTACTTGCACAATATCACTTGTTGGATAAAAATTAATTGACAACAATCCTGAAAGTGTTTAATAGCTTAAGTACTTTATCAAGAAAAATACGTTCTCTGGATTAATCTTCTCTAATTTGCTTTTATATTATTTTAAATTTAATATCTTTTGGATTTTGGACTTTTGGTTGAACAAAATGACTTAGACTCTGGAAACTTGTGATTTTTCATAATCTTGTAACATTGCATACAGTAAAAGAGTAACTATTTAAAATTAAAAATAATAATAACTTGCAGCTCTTTATACATGCCACATACGTCACTAAACTTGACTTAGATTATTAGTATTTCAATTCATCATTTTAACAATTTCATGATTATTTTGACCATAAACAAGCACAATCTGTGGTTGAGAACAAGCATCTACAATCTTCTTTTTGCTTTTTCATTCAAATGTTTTCTATCATGCTTCACTGTAGGGATAACATGCTGGAAGTCAGTCTTTAATAGATTCCTTCACTTCCTTAAAGAAATATGTTTTTGGAAATATACTTATTCACTCTTTAACAGAGAGTTAGATAAGAAAATTGATAAGATTTTAAAATCTGTTTAAATATTTAATTACCAAGCTAACACAATCTCCCTACAAACAGCTCAAATAATCACTAATTAACATGTTAAATCTCATTCATACAAACAAGTAAAAACAACAGGTTGTGGTTTGACGGTGAGTTTTGTGCCGATCTAGTTTTGTGGTTGGTTGTCTGGCAACCTCACGGTGATCCAGGAAGTCACTGCACCTGGCCCAAAAAATTGTTCTGCACAAAACCCTGAGTAAAACCCCAACCAGTCATTTACATTTTGGTTTATGTATGAATTAAATATAATATAATGTGTTGATTAGTGAGCTTTAGAGGTGCTGGTAGGAGGATTTTTCCACCTTTGGACTGAGCCAGGCGAGTTGTTTAGCTGTGTTTCCCAGTCTTTATGCTAAGCTTAGCTAACCTCCTCTTGGCAGTAGCACTTCTCATCTAACTCTGAATTCTGAATACTGAGTAGGTGTATTTCCCAAAACATTACATAGATGTGTGTTGCAAGTACTTGATCAACTTTTCCCAGATCAGAAGGTCAACAGCGTGAGTTTGCCACATTATAGGGTAACTGAGGTAGCCTTTTTTGTGACGTAAATATGAAAAAATCAATACACCAGCCCCAAATCAGTTCTGCAGGTCAGAAGAAAAAAAAAAGGGACACTGAATTTCTTATCAATCATCATAGCCCAAACTCATCAGTAGACTTTGTCACAATCCCCAAATCTCACTTCCCCACAAGACAATCTCTTTATTCGTCCTTTTCTGATTCCTAGGCGGTCACCTCTCCTTTTCCACTCAAGTCTCTTGTTCTGTCCTTCTCCCCCTTTTCTAACCCCCTTCCTTCCTTTCTCTCTGTCCCATCCTCCATGCTAAATGAGAACCAGACGTGCAGCAGACCTAATCAAGATGTCCTCAGCTGAATGAGCCTTATTATGGGATGGGTAAACAGTGAGTTCCGATGTTGCCGGGGGATAAAGTCCCGGGACAGACGGGGGTTGATTGAGAGGAACGATACTGACATCGCACAGTGAGCACTTGTCAGGTACAACTACTATTTGTTGACGTCTGAGGAGGAGGAAGAACAGATCTTTTCAGTACTGACAAAATGTTTTGAATGGGTATTAAGAACCTGAGCTTTAGTAAACACTTACCACAACAGTTGGCAAAGCAACTAATAGTGCAGATATCTGTGTTTTATAGAAATCAGGATAATATGGTCAAAGTAAAGCTCATCATTGTGTTATATACGTTGAAATAGTAGTGTATGTGTCTGTTGTTACTCTCTTGAACTCACTCAGGGAGTCCAAGAGGGGTTTTGTGGAAGGCCAGAGTTTCCTGTGGATTGCTGATTTGAGTGGTCCTGCTGTAAACTCTGAGCTTTGCTTGTTTTGTCCTTAATGACGAGAGGCCATTCAGACTAACAACCTGGCCGTAAAAAGCTGCGAGGTGAGGCTGCTCTCGAGTGTTAACTATGGATCAGATTCCTTGTGGCAGATGTCTAACCCCAAACATTCACTGGGGGAGTTCATTTCCAAAATGTCTTTGCCTGAAGATACATTTTTCATATCAGTAAACAGGAGGTTCAGTCAGTGTGTCAGCGAGCAGATAAGCTACCAACTGCTCTGCAAGTAAATAACATGACATACCTCATATAGAGAAAACATCTGCCTTTCTGCAATCAGTTTCCTATACTACATAGGAATTACATCTATAGCTACTTGATGAAAGCTGTTACATTTTCTGCTTGGGAACATCACATAAATCATAAATACAGCGCATTTAGCAAATAGCTTCTTCTTGGGTTTGTTGTTTGCTAAAGGTTTGTGAGTGCATGTATGTTTGTGCTTGAATGCATTCTTTTGTGTATTTAATTAATGTTCTTCATATGCATTTATCCTTTGTTTTGAATTGCTGTAGTAATAGTGGTAAAAAACCTGGTCATATCAATTCATCAGTTAAAGTAGTAGCATGTGGTTAAAGATGTTGTTGGCACTTGAGTTGTAGACAGGTGAAGTTAAAGATTCATGTTAAGTTCTCTATACACTTTCTATAATTTCTTGTGCAATCCTGCGCAGCAAAACTCCACACCCATCTTGCACTAAAGTACGATAAAACAAACCACAGAAATTATTATGCCATCCTGTTTGGCCGGTCTGGAGTGAACAGCTACCAGCCCGACTTGAGTCACAAAGACAAGCAACAATTAGGTTTTTATAAAAACTATGTTCCCCACTGTGGCCTCTCTGTTGACTGCAGCTTAACTGGTAGTCAAACAGAAAGCCCTTATCATAGGTAAACACTAAGTGGCCACTCAGCCATCCGGCTACAGAGATAGGCAGGGAGGGATAAACATCTCTGTATTGCCATGCAGAGCTGCGTTCAAATCGAATTTCCGCTCTCCAATTTGGAGGCTTGTTTATATCCAAAAGCATCTGGAATATTAACATGCCCTTGAAAGAATTTCCTGGCATGCCTCATGCAGTGACCACATGCGTTTTTGAGTGCCATATTAGTGCGGGTGTGCGCATGTGTAGCAGGCCATGTCCCAGAGTGTGTATGTGTGTTTCTTTTTGTGTGAGTGTGCATTGGTAAACATGTTCCTGTTTTGTGTGTGTTGTGTGTACCTGTATGTGTTTTAGTATTTAACTACTTGTGCAGAGCCAAAGTCTTCATTACTGTAAAACCCTCAAATATGACTGCATTTGACAACCACTTATAGTACTTCTTTAAAGTTTGTCATTTTGGAATCTTCTTTAAATGGTCTAATTTTTCTTTTCAATTGTTTTCAGTTCCCTTCAAGGACAAGGCTGATGCTATTCTATATTTGTATTTTTCTTACTGTCAACAAATCTAATGAAACTTTTTGACTTCTCTGCTCACAAATATATAATTTTACTAAAAAAGGCAACTTAATTTCCTGGATAAACATGAGTAAATAGTCAATTTGTAGGGGACTATCTTCAGCTGCAGATCAATACACACTTTTGTGATCAATACACTAGTGTGTATTTATGGTAGAGTGATACATGTGGGACTGACACAAAATAAACTGCAGTGGCCATGTTCATTTTAATGAAAGCACATGTGATCCAGCACTGATTGTGTTGCTAATTGATTTGTTTTTAATAGTTTTTGTACAACAATGGCGGTCTATATAGGGGGCATACTTGGTAGCAGGATAAATTAATTGCTTGTATTGATTTTTTCATGGGATTTGTTGACAGTAAGAAACCACTGAGCAACACCTGTTCTCATGTGGCACTGTCTTTTCACGTTTGTTCATCTGTGAACACGCACAAAGCCTGCTCCTTACAACGAACTTGACACCAGAGCAGATTGGAGCAAGGGACGTTGTAAAAAATCTAAAAACCTCTCTGCAAACTTAAACCTTCTCCGCATGCTTATTTTGTACTTGTTTTCTTGCAGCACACAAGTTTTTCATTTTGGGGAGGGATGGAGGGATGGAGTGAGGAGAGGAAGGCGGGATAGAGTGCGTAGCGCTGACAGTATTTATAGCCCGGTGTTCTGACCAAAATTATCAGTGTACCACAAAATAACTTCCTCTGGCCTCACCGCCAAATAACAGGAAGCCTTCAATTGTGCGTATTTATTAATTTTAACGCACACACATGCACTTGCGCAGACACAGTTGTGCACACGGTGAAATGTACTCACACAAACACAAACAGCTCACACATGCAGCACATGAAAACATGTTCTTGTGTACACACACACACACACACACACACACACATACACACACATAGTGAGGGTTTGCTGTCTTTATAAATAGAGCAGCTCCTGGAGCTCTGCAAAGTCGGCTGTGTAAACTTCCTCCACTTTCTGGAGTTGGTTTTTCTTTGTACTCACAAATTCTCTCTTATTCTCTCTCTCTCTCTCTCTCTCTCTCTGTCTTTCTCTCTGTCGCTCTCATGGACGTACAGATGGACACATGCAATCAAGTATGAGCACACGTGGAAACACACACACACACACACACACAAACATGCACGCACTCTCAAAGTCTGGCCTCCATTAGAGAGCCATTCAGTGAAGTTTGGGCGGGGGGTCAAAGGTGACAGTGTGTTAATGGGTGACGTGGGGGGTCTTTTCTGCTTCGCTGACCATCATGTGCGCGCACACACACACACACACACACACACACACACACAACACACACACACACACATATATATTTATGAATCATACTTGAGTCTTTCTTTCTTTTCAATCACTTGTGTCCGTCTCTTTCTGTCCCTCTTTCTGTGTTTTGCGTTTGGGACTGTAAATCACAAGTTGGATGTTTCAATGCAGCCCAAAATACAATCGCAGATGCTGCACCTGGTAGACATGTTAATGTGCATATGCACATGTACAGCTCTGTGTGTATACATGTGAGAATATATGATTGCACGCCTACCAGCTGGTGACTCTGTAATGGCAACACTCATATGATTGTAACTGTTGAGTCATTTTAAAGCACTGGGAATATTTGGCGTCATCTCTGCCAATACAGTAGGTTTTGTATAAATAAGCATAATTAGGCTTGTTGAAACTAATACATGCAAACATATTATACTGTTAAATTGTTATGGATAGATAGATAGATAGATAGATAGATAGATAGATAGATAGATAGATAGATAGATAGATAGATAGATAGATAGATAGATAGATAGATGTAAAAGTCAAGATGGTCAGAGAGGCCAGGGTGGTTTACACAAATGTAGTGACGACACACACAATCCTAGCTTGGACAGAGTTGCCAAAATTAGTCAAAAGCAGCCGTCTGTTAGCCAGTCACCATTTATGGCTCCTCGTTTTTTATATTTTTCCTGCAGGAAAACAGATGATAAATACAAAGTGAGTTCCTCCTCTAGAATAGGGAGTGCAATATTCGTAATAGAGCAGATAGTGTCTGTTCATACACATTTTGTCTAAGCTGGTGATGGCTTCTAAACCAGATACTTGTCTTCTTGACTCTCTACCAGCCACACCATTTAAAGATCTCTGGCCATTTCTGGGACCTACAATGATAGATATTGTTAATATATCACTTACACTGGCTCTGTCCCCACTAGCTTTTAAACTGCTGTGGGTAAAGCTCTAACTAAGAAACCACACCTTGATCCAGAGTCTCTGAAAAATGATTGATCCTCTCTTTTTTTTTTTTTTTTATTAAAAAAATTTTTTTTTTTTTTTTACTTCTCACCCTTATTTTTTTTTTTTTTATTTAATTTTTATTTTTTAACCCGCCCCCTCCCCCCAATAAAATTTTTTTTTTAAAATGTTTTTTATTTTTTTTTCCTTTTTGTTTTTTTTTTTTTGGGTTTTTTTTGGGGTTTTTTATATCACAGTTTGTTTTTTTTTTTTTTTACCCCCCAGAAAAAAAAAAAAACCCCCTTGGGGGGGGTTTTTGGGGGTTAAAAAACCATTTTATAAAAAAAAAAAAAAAAAAAATAAAAAAAATTTTTTTTTAATTATGGGTCCCCCGGGGGTTTTTTGTGGCCCCCCCCTTTTTTTCCCTTTTTTTTTCCCCTTTTGGCCAGACTATATGCAGTCGTGGAATTCATTTCCACTGCTATGCTGATGATACTCAGCTGTATGTGCCTTGTTTAATCAGGACTTGATTATTGTAGTGTTTTGTTGTCAGGTCTGCCATACAGTACTAAAAGTCTTTAAATGGTTCAGAATACTGCAGCTTCAATTCTAACTAGAAGTATGAAATTTGACCACACCAATTTGAGCTTTCCTTCACTGGCTTCCTATCCATGTCAGATAGTTAAAAAATATTATTTAGGCCATGTAAATAATTATGTAAAAAGCACAGCTTGGATCAACTAACTTCCATCTATTGTTGTGATGGTGGTATGACAATTTGCCATGTCAAATCCTTTGCTAAGTGGTAAAAATCCATTTCTACATCTGAGCCTTCTATGACAGGAGCAGCAAAGGATGCTGTTGTGAAGCACAAAGTCTTCAATTTTGTTTTATGTAAGTATCATTATCCTATTTAGCTGGTGTAAGAACCTTTGAATGTGCTTGTGAGTGCGTCCTTTTTCTTACCCAGGTGAGTGCATTATCTCTCTCTCTCTCTCTCTCTCTCTCTCTCTCTCTCTCTCTCTCTCTCTCTCTCTCTGTGTGAAAGAGTGAGAGAGAAAGAGGAGTTGGCTGGGGTTGCGTAACCACCATGTGCCTGGGTGCCTGGAGCCGGCAGCTCGTTAACCTGCCTTCCTTCCTGCTGTCACCTCAAACTAAATAAACACAGAGGCTATCTGCTGTGCATGCACATGTGCACTAACACACACACACACACACACACACACACACACACACACACACACACACACACACACACATACATACATAAATACTCACACTTATACTTGTATTCATGCATGTGGACATTTCTCTCTCTCTCGCCTGAACACATGAGCTGTGCATGTACGTCACCGGAGGCTCTTTCCTTTGAGGAGAACAGATCATATATCTCTTTCTGATCACAAACACATACACCCAAGACACACTAACTTTGAGCTTTTATTTACCCTGTGGGGAGGATGTTACAGTTAGGATGGGATACAACATGTCATTAAGGAATCCTGCCTCACTGACAGTTGAAAACAAGCTGCCGGGTCTCTGCGGACTTTAACCTCTGCTTGGTGTTTTTCAGCGGGCGGCTTATTGGCACCCAATCGGGATTTTCAGATGTTGTGACAGGGCAACTGAGATGTTATGAAAATAAGAGTATTAGGTTTGTAAAATTATTAGGCCAGGTTAAATTGTGGATGTTTGTGCAGAATCGTTGTCCCCAGGCAAACACTGATCTGACCTTACTGAATTAAAAGTCTTGAAGAATCAGGATTTTGTATTTTTTGTTTTACCTTGAGCAAACATGGCTGTAAATACTTGACGAGTAAACAACGACAGAAACAACTTTACTGCCACACAGCAGGCTTACATCATTGTTTTCCAAAAGCTCTGCTTTCCTCATCCACATTGAAAAGCTGGGTTGACGTTTGCATATTTATCCATTTTCAAAAATCTCTATTTGTGGTTGTGAAACTGATAAAAAAAAATTATACCTTTTCAGATTTAGCCAGCTTGTGTTCATGTATACAGGATAATGTTGTTCCCATTTTCCAATATAAATATTCTTGGACATCTAAACTTATTACAAGACACTGCTTTACCAACAAAGCTTTACCTCGTCAGATTTTAAGTTTTCACTGTCTTTGTCCTGAGGCCTTTAAATCTGTTTAATACCCACTTTGAAACTTCAGCTTTTCATTCCACAAACACAAAACATATCAAACCACATGTAACAAACCCACATCAAGGATTCATGTTTGTTTCATAAAAAATAATTACATTAGCATTCCCCCTTTCTATTTTTATTTATTTTTTGCTTTTAAACTTGGACCCAATATTTCAACACTAAACTTAGTTGGGCCTCCCAGTCTGTGGGGTTTTTGTATTAGTTTCTTTCTTTGAAAGAATAACACAGGGACATGGGGGAGGAGTAGCAGTGGAAGCATTAATAAACAAAGAAATAAATAATGTTTATTGCGAGCCAGACATCACAGTGGGTTTATGGCTGGACTGTAAACTAGAAGACCTGGCTTAGAATTTACATAATTACTTCCTGGCGTAAATTACTCACCCCCTCCCTCTCCCACTCTCCCACTCTCCCATCTCTCTGCCTCTCTCTCTTCTGGATCATGTCATTACTCTTAATCATAACAGCACCGCTATACATTTATTTCAGTAGTACTTATGGACCATAATCTATAATATGTGGCCTGGAATACTATGTATTTTTCAATATTTTTACATGTTCCAATAGCATGTTACTGTATATTGTAATTTATTATTTTTTCAGAAAAACAACAACAAACACTAATAACATATTGTTATTGTGTTGTTATACAATTGCTATCTGTGAAGTTTTACAATTGCCACTTGACAATAATGTTCTAACGTTGTAAATATGATCAAGCCAGTGATTTGTAAAAGTTGTTTGGTGATGACTTCCAATGCACTAAATCACTAATTTGCACCAGCAAATACATTTAGAGAGAAATGTTGGCTTGTAGTAGGACACAAGATGTCTGACCTCCAAAATAAGAGGTTTTGGAGTGTTACAACAATGCTCGCAATAGATGACAGGCATTATTTACATGACTATAAGAGATGCAGCAAAGATTCAGGTACGCTGCAGTTACATGAGGTGCATCTTATACCACATGGCAAGGGTACATCCAGATGTATTCTTTACTGTTATAATAAAGCTTTGTCCAAGACGTTGCATCACAGTTGTAATAAGAAACACATTATATCACTTTTTTTTAGAACTAAATATCAGAAATCTTTTAATTTTTTCATATACGCAATGAACATGACATTTTACAATGAAACCCTTGAGCTGCGAGCTGCAGGGAGTGTTTCCTGTCTCTGGTCCAACATTGAATTGTAAAGCACAGGGTAAGGTTAGGTTAGTGGAGGTCAGGGAACACAAGGACAAATTGCTAAATGAAACGTTTCTTCCTTTTTGGTTCAGACTCTTTGCCTGTCTGGTGTTTATGTCCTGGGCTCAAAAAGAGAGGGATGGAGGGAGGAAGTGAGGACGTCCTGGAAGGAAAAACGAAGGCCTTCACATTCTCTGGCCTGTTTGCTCAGAGCACAACTGTCCCTCACTGTGGTCATTTAAGTCTTCTTCTATTTTCTCCCTCTATCTTTCCTCTCTCCTGACACTTTTCTTCGTCTCTTTCTCCCTTCTTTTTTATTCTTTCCACCCCCCCGCCTCTCTCTTTCTCTGTCCCTCTTTCCCACTGGGACAGGAGCCATGTGCTTTGGAGGCCCTCAGAGATGAAACCACACATTGGAGCTGTAGCAGGGGGTAGAAGAAGAAGAAGGAGGCTCCAGAAAAAGCTCGGCCGGCGCTCCCAGCCAAATCACCAGCCAGAAACCAAACTGGATGTGGTGAAACTGTCAAATTACTTAAGGAAACTGCAGCAAAACCTCAGGAGACGAAAAACAGAGAGGGAGAGAAGAGTTTTTTTCATTGTGTTGCAAAACAAGCAAAGCAAAATGGTATTTGTAAAAGAATTTATGATTTTAAAAAGTCATCGGGGAGGCCTGGCTGTTAGGGAGCATATTTGTCAATATCTTACAGTATTCATTTTCCGCGACCTTTCAAATGTACTTTTATTAGACTTAGGATAAGAATAGCTTTCTTCATCCAGGTTGCTTTGTAAAATATTTGTAGTTTAGTTAAAAATGTATTCATAAACTGCATTGTTTGATGGAAATGCAGCTGGGGACCTTTGCTGCATGTCATTCTATCCTTACATGTCAATTCTGCGATAAAGGAATAAAAGTCGAGAAATGTGTGTGTGTGTGTGTGTGTGTACCTGAAACAATCATGATGCTGGAACATAAAAGACAGCATAAACTTGTTTTTTAAATTTAATTGTAAAACTGCACATATTGCAAACCAGTCTAATTAGAAGAGTTTACCAATTATTTAGAGATAGAAACCAACAAGACCACATTGTTTTGCAACCCTGTCCCTTGAAATGCCATTTATATAATAACAATTTGTTTTGCCAGTCACGTTTTTGGAGGAAACATAATTTAATGCCTAGAGTATGTTAACATTTCTTTTAGTGTACTGTAGAAAGTGCTAAGCAATTCTACCACATGCAAGTCGTAGGGAGTGGCCCAGTGTTGATGGAGGGTGTACAAAGCATAATACTTTTTAGGCAGAAAATGTACTTGGTGTACTTTGGTTAAGGTTAAGGAAAGATCACGGTTTCCATTACTTGTCATTAAAGTGAACACGTTGTGTCCTATGCTTCTGACTTTTTCAGTATTTAACCAAGACCACAGTCTTTCTCTAACTTTAAACAAGTGCTGTCCCTGCTTAAAAATAACATAAAACATTTTTATCGGCTACTACGAGTACATATTGTTTTTCAGTTATAATCCCTATGAACATTTTGCCAAAATGTATTCTTTTCAAAATGTCTTTGCTTTTGCAATTTAATAGAATATAAATCTAATTTCTAGGAGTCTGAAAATATGGTTTCTCATAAACGCCATAATACTGATTATTGGTTCATATTCACCAGTAAAAGAGAAATAAATGTATATCCTTTACTGCTCCACTCAACACTGAGTGGTAAAAACATGCAAAGCTCTCAGCACCATCTGGTACGTGCAACAATGCGTCACCTTTCAGTGAGAGTAATGACATAGAGAAGTTCTTAACATCAACTTCCTCTGAGTCAAGATATTATAGGATGTCCTATAACGTAAGCTCTTACATTTTTCCCCTTTTACATTTTCATTTGTGAAAAGTTTATAAACAAAATTGACACTGGTTTATGCTCTATTGTATGCACATTCAGAAATTTGCAACATTTTTCACATAGCAAGGGTTTTTATTTGGACATTTCTGCCTGTTAAACTGATGCAGGATTCCAGTTTTAACTCATTTAAGAAGAAGATGTAACATGAAAACTTTGTAACAGTTGACATAAGGGATGAATCAGCTCAAGGCCCAAGTGAATCATTAGGCCGCTATAAATCACTGCTATATGTTTCAAATAAAGTGTTACCATTTGTGACTGTGTGTGTGTGTGTGTGTGTGTGTGTGTGTGTGTGTGTGTGTGTGTGTGTGTGTGTGTGTGTGCCCTTGCATCGTGATCTGGCTCCACTGAGACTCCATGCCCAGCAGTTACAGACAGCAGACACGGCTTTAACTTCCACTGCCTCCATCTCTCTCTCTCTCTCTCTCTCTCTCTCTCTCTCTCTCTCTCTCTCTCTCTCTCTCTCTCTCTCACACACACACACACACACACACACACACAAACACAAACACAACACACACACACACACACACACACACACACACACACACACACACACACACACACACACACACACCTCCTCACTCCATAACAAACAGCAAGAGTCTGGGCCCCCAAGGCTTCCTGTATCCTACACACAGCCAGCAAATAAACACAATCACATTCATTTACCCCTACACACACACACACACACACACACACACACACACACACACACCGTACATACACACAAACACACAACCACACAAAAAAGCATTCATTTGTGCACAGCCGTGCTGCAAACATACCCACAGACCCACACAAACACACACAAGCATTCAGGCATGTGCAGACACACAAACATGCAAACTGCGACTGAAAGAGGACTCAGACCAAATGGGTAACCACTGCTATTTCTTCCCTCATTAAGCAGCAATATTACGAGCTGACACTTAGAGAGGCCTGTGGGCTTGGACTCGGTGTCCCGAGGTTTCCACTGTTAAAGGGGGGGAACATCTCCTTCTGTTACAGGAAAAGGGAAAAGAGGAATCAGAAGAGATAACCAGTGATTCCGCAAAGATTTAATGCCCATATATTAGAGGTTAAATCAAGGAAACTGTGTGTCCACAGGATGATTAAGGTCACAGAGAAGTGGAGGAGTTTTCTTTAGGCATTCTCAGACTCTGTGTTTCTTACAATAAGGGACTGAAATTGCATAATTTCTTTTCCATTTTCAGAGTAGAAGCATTTTCTATCATTATAAATGTGTCATGATTTCTTGTGAGTAAGCACGTAACTTGCATGAAACCACAAATGGTCATTTTTACATATTGGTTTTTGCACTAGCAACAGGATACCAGGTTTGAATTAGTGAGCTTTAAATACAGATTTTTTTAAACCTTTGAACAAAGCTCAGTTTGCTGTTTTCCGGGTGCTTCCAGTCTTTATGCTAAGCTAAGATGATGGCTTTAGCGTCATAATTACCATACAAACTTGACTGTGGTATCAATCATATCGACTAAAAATTTCAAATTATTCCTTTAATATTTTTGCCACCACAAAATTGAGGGACAGCGGCTTAAATTACTACACCATTCATCTGATGTAGATGTAAACATTATCAAATTAAAGTTGAAAATAATCACTTAAACATCATTGTCTTTGTTTAATTTTTTAATTCAATGTGCAGGACTACAGTAACCTTGAGGGCAGCTTGACTAGCAAGATCACGAAATTACGCACAAATCCATCTTAACAGGCTTCAAGCTATGTGCTTGTATCAAACCACAGTGGTAGTGGACCTATCAGCGTCCTATAAGGAACTACTGGTAGCTATGGCACGAGATATGGGAATGGTGGTTGAGGTTAGCGTAGATACAGCGAGGGTCAGTTATATCTGAACTGGAGAGTATGTAAGAAGAGTTAGGAACTATTTCTCTATAGAACAGATGTTTTTGCGAGCTTGACTACGTTATATGGTTCTCTGATCTGACTGGTCGTAGTTTGCTTGTGATTGATGGTGACAGACAGATGGTTCGTCCAATCACCAGGCAGGTAGTTTTTGTGTCTGCCCTTTTCCAAACAGTTTCTTACGACAACCATGTGGCACAGTCAGGTTCGGTGTACAGAATGGTCACTGTCAAACTACCTATGGGCTGCACTATACAAACATCAAAGTTTGCTTGTGTCATTCAGACAGGTTAGTGACATTGATTTGAGTAAAAGTTATTTTGACTGCTGCTTTGTTTTACTTTCTCAATTTTCACCTATTTTATTTATTGGTTATTATGACACTGATGTAACTTCGTAGTTGTTGTCACAGCAAAAACCTCCCAGATGTCACAGATTAGTTGTGTTACTTGTCTGTTCTGTTCATATTTGACAACCACAGAATTCTGATAAAATGCGTTTTGTAACAATTTCTTCCAGGTCAATTATGCATGTCTGCACGTCACAAGCACAATTCACACCAAATAAATCAACATGTTAAAAAAATCCAGGTCATTTTGAAAAATAAAATACAATACATCCATACTGGGAGGTAATGAAAGACTTTGGCTCATAAATGAAATAGTAGAAAAACACAGTTTTTGGCCCAGGACTAAGAATTGTATCAGCAAACTGCTGCAGGACAGATACATGTAAGCAATTGTGAGTTGGGATGGAGAGAAGTGGTTTTTGGGTAACCATAGCTCGTGTAGGCCTGCAAAATTTAAAATATTCGTTGTGCAAATCTGTGGTTCTTTGTGTCAAACAAATTGTGATTAGTCGAGTGGGGAAGGACATCATGTGGTATCTCTGGGATTGTGCCAATACCCAACATAAGACTAAAATAAACATAAACATAATGAATATAATTATAAGTATTTATTGTCTTTTCGTGCTTTGTTTTTGTTTTTGATACATTCACTTGAATATACTGACATTTTATTAATTTGAAACCCTGTGGACAATTAGCAGACTTGCTAACAAAAAGCCATGTTTCAGCATTTACTAAGGAGACTTTTGTAAAGGTATTAACCAAAACAAAATGGTTAATTTTCGCATTTAGTGAGCAGCCCATGACAATTTCTTATAAGTAAAGATGTACCACTGACCTATAAAGGTTTTTAAGGTTTTAACTTGTAACTAAATGTTTTATTATTGGTTTAAGAAATTAAATAATGTTTCATTGACAATTTATAAGAACATCATTGTCTTTGTTCTATTTACTCAGAACAATTCTAGGGTTGGTCTTACTATAACTTATCTATAAGGGCACCTTATTAGAGAGCGGTACCAATAAAGATCCTTATGGCCCGTAATATTTGTTGTTCTAAACACTGGCTGTTAACATACACTTACTCTTTAGGGCCTCTGAATGTGCATCAAGGTACACTCTTTGTACTGCATAAGCAAGAATCTTTGCTGTGGAATACATGTAGTGGTGAAATTGGGTTGCAGGAGTGACACCTTTACAAACTTTAAAATCAAATAAATATCAACAAAACAATAAATAGAAACCGCAGTGCAAAAACAAATTCCGACCACTTAACATCTGTCACAGTGTCACTTCACAAAGCTGTTGCTACTATTTTGTAAACTCATGTAAATTCCCTATTTTTAGCCCAACTAACAGAATATTTTTGACTTCACCTATACATACAACATGTGTTTATGATATCCTTTCCTCTCCCCTCGTCCTCCTCCTCTCGGGCGTGTGAAAGGAAGATACCAGGGTAGCAACAGAGGAAACATAGCAACCACATAATTGGTGGCCAGGATCAAACTTCAATCACGCCGTCCTATCGGCGAGGCTCTGTACCCTGTTCTTTTCCCATATATCTTGTGCCATAATGACTGTGACACAGCTCTGCTACCACAGGGTTTGGTTTAGTTGGAATGTATGTAATTGGTTTACAGAAGTTGCATTTAAGAAAAAAAAAAAATCTGCAAGGTTGCAATCACTGACATGTACTCATTGTTGTAGTGGAAGCTAAACCTGCCAAAAATCTGTTAACCCATCTTATAGGGTCACTATGCACATAGTGTTATTGTTA